GGAGAGTGACTTGATCTTTTGCTCTTTCAAGAGAAGCCAGAAAGCTAGATTTGTGTTTGAAATGTTGGCAATTGGTGTACTTTAAATGTTAAGGGAAGTTCCTTTTCTAACAGGGGTCGGGCTGTCACCGAACGCGGGGTCGTCCTGTCTGTGCGGAAAGCCGGCGGGGGACACCACACCGCCGAGGCCGCCCAGAGCCAGGGGCCTTGAGGCTGTCGGGACCCAGGAACTCCCCAGGACGCGGGTCTCCACGGGCACCCCAGGCGTAGGGCGCGCCCCGGCACCAGGGCCTGGCATCTCTACCTGCCAGCTGCACCCCTGCCACGGAACCCCATGCCCGTCACGACTGACTTCCTAATGTTCTTCATGGCTAAAACACTTCATTGTAAAACCTTGTTCTAGTGCAAAATTTTTAACATATACATAAGTAGAAAGAATCACAAACTGGCCGGGCGCGGTGGCTCACACCTGCAATCCCGGCACTTTGGAAGGCGGAGGCGGGTGGATTACTTGAGGTCGAAAGTTCGAGACCAGCCTGGCCTACATGGTGAAACCCCGTCTCTACTAAAAATGCAAAAATTATCTGGGCATGGTGGCACGGTCCTGCAATCCCAGCTGCTGGGGAGGCGGAGACAGGAGACGGAGGTTGCAGTGAGCCAAGATCGAGTCACTGCACTCCAGCTTGGGTGACAGAGAGAGACTCCATCTCAAAAAAAGAAAAGAAAAGAAAACACACAAACCCCCTGTACCCATCACCTAGCTTCAGAGACTGATGTTCATAGCTAGGTGTCACCTATTAACCCCTGTCCCCAGGACACTTCAGCCACACTGTACCCCGCCCCTGAGGAGTTATTTTGGAGCACATGTGAGAAATCATCTCTCTTCCTCCATAAATATTCCAGGGTGTGTCACTAACAGATAAATACTCGTTTTTAATATAACAATGCCATTGCCACACTAATAATACAATCATCACACCAAAAAGTATTTCCTGGATGCCATCAAATTTCAATGTTCAAATTTCTCCAACTGCTTCATAAAAGTGTAGTTAACAGTTGATTTTTCCAATTCAAGTCCCAATAAGCCCCATAAATTGTATCTGGTTAGTTTTTAAAGTTTCTTTAATTAAGGTAAAAAATGTACGCATAGTAAAATGAACAGATCTGAAGTGTATAGTTCCAAGAGTTTTGGCAAATGTGAACCACCTGTGTGATCAACACATCAATCAAAACGTGGAAGTTTCTATCACCTCTGAAAATTCCCTCCCCTCTCCCCATGAACCCAGCCCAGAGGAAACAGCTGATCTGTTTATAACAGCTGATCTGTTTATAGCAGCTGATAATATTCCATTATCATAGAATACTTTTGCCTGTTTTGGAAATTCACATAAATAGAATTAAACAATACATTCTTTTATCTGCCACACTTCTTTTGCCCTATATAATGTTTTTGAGATTCATCCACAGTGTTGCACATACCAATATCATGTGCATGTAATTTTTGTTCATTCCTTTGTAGTATTTCACCATCTGAATATAATGCAATTTATTTTGTTATTTATTCTGTTAGGAAATACCCTGTTGATGGCTATTTGGATTGTTCCCAAGTTTTGGATAGAGTGAGTAAAGTTGCTTATCCAAGTCTCTTGTGGCAACATGCCTTCATTTTCTTTTCAGCAAATGCCTCATAGTGGAATTGCTGGATCACAGGAAAGATGTCTATTTAATTTTGTAAGAAACTGCCTAGAGTTTTCGCGGCACAGTTTTACCATTAATGTTCCCACCAGCCAAGTATGAGAGTTTCACTGGCCCCACCTCCTCCCCACTTGCTGTTTGCCGTCTATTTTGTCTGAACCATCAAGGTGGGTGTGACTTTCTAATTGTGGGTTTAAAAGGCATTTCCCTGATGTGATGGGAATGAGTTCTGTTTTTATTTCTCTGAAAGTGCCTTTATTTCACCCTTATTTTAACAAGACATGTTCTTTGGTGCATTAGTCTGTTTTCACGCTGTTAATAAAGACATACCCGAGACTCAGTAATTTATTTATTTATTTATTTATTTTTTTTTTTTTTTTTTTTTTGAGACGGAGTCTCGCTCTGTCGCCCAGGCTGGAGTGCAGTGGCGCGATCTTGGCTCACTGCAAGCTCCGCCTCCCGGGTTCCCGCCATTCTCCTGCCTCAGCCTCCCGAGTAGCTGGGACCACAGGCGCCCACCACCGCGCCCGGCTAATTTTTTTTTTATATTTTTAGTAGAGACGGGGTTTCACCGTGGTCTCGATCTCCTGACCTTGTGATCCGCCCGCCTCGGCCTCCCAAAGTGCTGGGATTACAGGCTTGAGCCACCGCGCCCGGCCGAGACTCAGTAATTTATAAAGAAAAAGAGGTTTAATGGACTCAGTTCCACATGGCTGGGGAGGTCTCACAACCATGGCAGGAGGCGGAAGGCAAAAGGAACTCTTACATGGAAGCAAGGCAAGACAGAATGAGAACTAAGCAGAAGGGGTTTCCCCTTATAAAACCATCAGATCTCGTGAGACTTACTCACTACCACGAGAACAGTATAGGGGAAACCACTCCCATGATTCAATTAACTCCCACTGGGTCCCTCCCACAACACGTGGGAATTATGGGAGCTGCAATTCAAGATGAGATTTGGGTGGAGACACAGCCAAACCATATCCCTTGTATATAAAAATTCAGGTGGGCAGATTTTTCTCTCAGCGGTTGCTTCCTGCAGTCTCCTTTCAGAGCCTTTCCTTGGACTTTCCAAATCCAGCCCTTGGCTAAGGACTGACAGCACCTCTCCGGCAGACCACTGCCTGCCCCTGCCCTGTGCAGCTTCCTCCCACACAGTCTCACCCACAAACCCACCTTTATCCACAGCCACAAATTCCAATCTCCGCCTTCTTAGAGCAAAGAGGCCATTCCTCTCTATGTGGTCTCACCTCCCTGCACCCTAACTGAAATCTGGGAGTGAGGGGAAGGAGGAGCTCAGGTTATATGCCTCCCTTCTCTCAAGGATGGCAGCCTTGCGCTGGCTGTAGTAGAATACAGAAAAGTTCTGCCTAAGGTATGTTGTCCAGTTTTAAAGTCGTCGGTGGGAGGAAAGTGAGTCTAAGTCCTTTGATCTGCTTTAAAATGTGTTGGTTCTTGGCCAGGCATGGTGGCTCACGCCTGTAATCCCAACACTTTGGGAGGCCAAGGTGGGCAGATCACTTGAGGTCAGGAGTTCAAGACCAATCTGGTCAACATGGTGAAACCCTGTCTCTACTAAAAATACAAAAATTAGCTGGGCACGGTGGCAGGTGCCTGTAATCCCAGCTGCTCCAGAGACTAAGGCAAGAGGATCGCTTGAACCTGGGAGGCAGAGGTTGCAGTGAGTTGAGATTGTGCCACTGCATTCTGTCCTGAGCGACAGAGCAAGACTCCATCTTAAAATAACATTAAAAAGTTGGTTCCCTTGCCCTCTTTTTTTGTTTCCTTGCAGTGTTTTGAAGAAATCACATTCTTCATCCTGTAGAGTCACCCACATTCTGGATTTTGTTTACAATACTCCACTAGTGAAGTTTCCCAGTTTCCCTGTTCCCCGTGGTTCTTGTAAACTGGCAGATCCTTCAGGGTGATTTTTTTCCAGACTACTCAGAGACCAAGGTGGACACTTCCTGCAGGGTGCATGCCACGTCCCATCTCCTTTTGTGCTGTGAGCAGTCTTTGAGTTACACAATTGCCTAGATTTATTTTTTCATTAAGGCTGTACATAGTTACGATATTCTACGTCCATTTTCCTTCTCCATTCATTTACTCAATACATCTATAGAGAGAAACTCCCTGAGGATCAACTGTGTGGTTACACTGGGGTCCAGTCCCAACACCATGAGCAGATGAAAGCTTGGTCCTGTCCCTTTTTTTGCCGAAATGGCTGATTTCCTTTTGTATTAGTCCATTCTTGCATTGCTATAAAGAAATACCTGAAACTGAGTAATTTATAAAGAAAAAGGGTTTAATTGACTCATGGTTGTGCTGGTTGTACAGGAAGCATAGCGGCTTCTGCTTCTGGGGAGGCCTCAGGAAACTTCCACTCATGGCAGAAGGCAAAGGTACAGCAAGGCACTTCCCATGGCTGGAGTAGGAGGAAGAGAGAGGGGCGAGGCACCACACACTGTTAAACAACCAGATTTCAGGAGAGCTCACTACTCAATGACAGCACCAAGAGGGATGGTGTTCAACCATAAGAATCTGCACCAGTCACCACCTCCAACATGGGGGATGACAATTTGACATGAGATTTGGGCAGGGACACAGATCCAAACCATATCACCCTGCATGGTCCAAAGGTATATAATAAGCTTCTCTTCCTCCCTTCTTTCTTCCATTCTTCCTTTTTGAAAAGTATCATCGTGAATTTGAGGAATTTAAACATATTTGATGTGTTTCGAATTATGGCAGACATTATTTTTACTGAAGATTGCAGCTTTCCAATGTTAAGCAGAGGAGGGTCTCTTCAGATTGGCTCCTGGGTCCTTCAGACATGATCACGGTAGGTTTTGTTTTGTTTTGTTTTGTTTTTTATAGCATCTTTGCTTGTTAATGTGACAAAATGTTCCAGGACCATCCTGTAGGTTTCCTGCTCTGCATCTGAAATCCACCATTTCTACAAGGAAACTTGACTTCCTTTAATGGAAAATGGTTTTCAAGGTCATAATCTAGAATGTAAGGACACTCATAACTACGGGGTAAATTCAAGGTCTCTTCAGTGGATATATAAGGAAATCTATTTTATTTTAAATTTTGAAAGATAATACACCATGACTTCATCCTGACATTCTCAGTACAGAGTTTACTGAATACCGTAAGGAATCAGACTCCATTTTTGATGTTTGATGTTTGATTGCTGGTGACTTTAAAGCCTCACTCTTCCCGCTCCCCACTCCCCAACCCCACATCTGCGCAACCTGATAAGCTTCAGCTTCCTGAAGCCACCAGCTCTCAACAGGCCCCAGTCCTAACCACAAGCCAGATCCTTCCCTGCTCTCTCAGACCATTTCACACCCACCTGGGAGGCCTGTCTGTTCGCTCAAAGAGCTCAATTAGGTGAGTAATAATCCTGGCTAACAAGGTGAGACCCCATCTCTACCAAAAATACAGAAAATTAGCCGGGCGTGGTGGTGGGTGCCTGTAATCCCAGCTACTTGGGAGACTGAGGCAGGAGAATGGTGTGAACCCGAGAGGCAGAGCTTGCAGTGAGCTGAGATCGCGCCACTGCACTCCAGTCTGGGCAACAGAGCGAGACTCTGTCTCAAAAAAAAAGAAAAAAAGAAAAAAAATCCAAAGTGCTGGGATTACAGGACCCACCACCACACCCCACTAATTTTGTATTTTTAGTAGAGATGGGGTTTCACCATGTTGGCCAGGCTGGTCTCAAACTCCTGACCTCAGGTGTTCCCCCTGCCTTGGCCTCCCAAAGTGCTGGAATTACAGGCGTGAGCCACCATGCCCGGCCAGTTTCCTCAAACTTTTAAAATCACAAGATGGGCCGGCACAGTGGCTCATGCCTGTAATCCCAGCACTTTGGGAGGCCAAGGCAGGCCGATCACCTGAGATCAGGAGTTCAAGACTAGCTTGTACAACATGGCAAAACCCCATCTGTACTAAAAACAAAATAAATAAATAAATAAATTAGCTGGAGATGGTAGCAGGTGCATGTAATTCCAGCTACTCTGGAGGCTGAGGCAGGAGAATTACTTGAACCCAGGAGGCAGAGGCTGTAGTAAACCGAGATTGCACCATTGCACTCCAGCCTGAGCAACGCAAGTGAAACTCCATCTAAAAAAAAAAAAAAATTCTAGTGAATTTGTTGTTTGTTTGTTTGAAAAATTCATGCAAGCCTAGGCGCGGTGGCTCACCCCTATAATTCCAGCACTTTGGGAGGCCGAGGTGGGCAGATCACCTGAGGTCGAGAGTCCGAAACCAGCCTGACCAACATGGAGAAACCCTGTCTCTACTAAAAAAAGTACAAAATTAGCCAGGCATGGTGGCACATGCCTGTAATCCCAGATACTTGGGAGGCTGAGGCAGGAGAATCACTTGAACCCGGGAGGCAGAAGTTGCGGTGAGCCAAGAGCGTGCCATTGCACTCCAGCCTGGGCAACAAGAATGAAACTCTGTCTTGGAAAAAAAAAAAGAAAAGAAATAAATAAAATAAAAATTCATGTAATTGGTTTAGAAGGTGCTATAACCAGACACAAATCTCCATTCTTTTGAAATAAGGGGAGTGGAATGTGACATCTGCAGCCAGCTTCCTGTAGCGACACATCAACACTGTAAAATGCAGATGAAAGAGCCGGGCTTTTGAAAGCCCATTTTTAAAGCTTTTCCTTTCACTTTCTACCTATTGATTAGTTACCAGTTGTTCTCTTCTTTCTACTTATAGGCCATATTATTTCGTTTCCACTCCACAAATCCAACATAGTTAACTGGGTTTGATATTAATGAGCCTGTACAGCTAAAACATGGAAATACAATAACTACTGTTGATCAATCTTTCAGGTAGGTAAAAGCTAATTTTGCAAACAATTAATGTCATATTGTGATTCATCATAAACCGTTGAAACAGTTCAACAGTGATCCGTCTTTAATGTTGATGAAGGTTAACATGTTTTGGATTGTAATTCTCAATACATTTTCCAAATGGAATAGCACATAGACCTAGAATTTGTCAGAAAGAAATAATTTTTCCTCTAGCCTCTTAGAATCAGTGTTCAGAGTCTTGCAAATTAAAATGACAAAAAACTGGCCTGGCACTGTGGCTCACACCTGTAATCCTAGCCCTTTGGGAGACGGAGGTGGGTGGATTGCTTAAGCCCGGAAGTTGGAGACCAGCCTGGGCAATATGATGAATTCCTGTCTCTGGGGGGGGAAAAAAAAATGCAAAAATTAGCCACGCATGATGGCGATGATGGCGTGCACCTACAGTCCCAGCTACTCAGGAGGCTGAACTTGGGCCCAGAAGATGAAGGTTGCAGTGAGCTGAAATCTCACCACTGCACTCCACTCTGGGTGACAGAGTGAGACCCTGACTTAAAAAATAAAATAAATGACAAAAACCAGATTAAAGAGAAAGATAAACAAGAGAAAAGACAAAGTGTATTCATTTTGTTTGTTAATATCCATTCTCAGAAGGGCCCAAAGAAAGTGGCTAGTCAATAGCTGAAGATAGGGGCTTATCTGTAAACTTAATAGTCTGATAATAGGGTGAGGATAGGGCGTAATTCAGACAAAGCTTCTGTCTGCATTTGTTGATTCTCAAATGTCTTCAGCTCAAAACAATTTTATGCCACTGTGGTATAATTTGGATCCATTCAAAAAATGAGAAATTGGACTTAAATATCAAATTCAAGGATTTGACTACAGATAACCAGGCCAAAGAGGTGATCTGGTCCTAAAAGAACTCACTTTGTGGAAAAGGCTGAATGTAAAACTCCGCATGAATCTTAGAGTTTCAATTATCAGGAAGCAAACACTCACATAACTAAACCAAGTCATGAAATAGAACATTTCTTCCAGAGGCTTCTTCCATCCTATCTTCTAACCACGACTTCTTTCTCTCATCACAGAGTCTATCACTGTGGCTTTTATAACATTGTAAAAAAATTTTTATTTATTTTTTATATTTATTTATTTATTTATTTTTGTGTGACGGAGTCTCACTCTGTCACCCAGGCTGGAGTGCAGTGCATGATCTCGGCTCACTGCAAGCTCCGCCTCCCGGGTTCACCTCATTCTCCTGCCTCAGCCTCCCGAGTAGCTGGGACTACAGGCGCCCGCCACCTCGCCCGGCTAATTTTTGTATTTTTAGTAGAGACGGGGTTTCACCGTGTTAGCCAGAATGGTCTCGATCTCTGCCCGCCTCGTCCTCCCAAAGTGCTGGGATTACAGGCGTGAGCCACCGCGCCCAGCCTTAAATTGTTCTTAATTATAATCATTATTATTATTTGAGTCTCACTCTGTCACCCAGCCTAAAGTGCAGTGGCACGATCTCGGCTCACTGAAACTCCTGGGTTCAAGCGATTCTCCTGCCTCAGCCTTGTGGAGGAATAGTTAAATATTAAATGCGAACTCAATTGGATGTGGACAGAAACAAGGGTCACCAAGTCCCGGAAGAGGTTGTGTAAGCTCCTTGAGGGGTTCATCCAGCACTGTTTCGGAGAAATCCCTATTTCAATCTATTCCTTTACGTTAGTTATCGAAAAACAATAGACAATTGCAAAAACAAGCCGACCTTTTTGTGTTCTTTGAGCCCCGTCACGAAGGGCGCTCGTAACTGAACCTCTGTTACAAGAAGAGCTAGGGTCCCAGACTATGTGGAAGCTTCATGAAACTCCTCCTTGTCTGCACAGACGAGTGGCCGACTCTGGAGCCCAGGATGTTGCTTCCCAGTTTGGTGGTGAATCCTCCACAGTCTGGTGAGTGTAAATATCTTTTCGCTTCACCTCTTTTCATTGCAATTTGCTTATTATATGAATCTGCTTATTATATTGATTGTCTTATTATATCTTTGCTTATTATACCACTTCCTTATTATATTTGCATTGCCTTGTTTACCCTTAAAGGTATTGTGTGTGTGCCTTTTCTTCTCCCCTCATGCATTTCCTGCACAGAACATTAGCCTCCCCTGTAGCTGGGACTACAGATGCCCGCAACCACAGCTGGATAATTTTTGTATTTTTAGTACAGACGGGATTTCACCATGTTGGCCAGGCTGGTCTCAAACCCCTGACCTCAAGTGATCCTCCTGCCTCAGACTCCCAAACTGCTGGGATTACAGATGTGAGCCACCGCGCCCAGCCTGAGTTTTATTTTTAAACATGTATCTTTGAACACTATATTTTGTCTGACATTACTAAACTTCATAAAAATTAAATAATAAAGTATGTAATTATGTCTGATGTCTCTAGTCTTTACGAGAATCGTAAAATATTGACTGTAGTTGTCATTTGTTTACATTAACTATTTGATTGAAATAATATACCTACCAAGTGCAGTGGCTCATGCCTGTAATCCCAACACTTTGGGAGGCCAAGGATGGGAGGATCACTTGAGGCCCAGGGCTCAAGACCAGCCTGGGCAACACAGTGAGACTCCATCTCTACAAAACATTTAAAAATTAGCCAGTCCTGAGGGTGTGTATTTGTGGTCCCAGCTCCTCAGAGGCTGAGGTGGGAGGATCGTTTGAGCCCAGGAGTTTGAGGTTGCAGTGGGCTATGATTGTGCCAAGGCACACCAGCCTGGGTGACAGAGCAAGACCTTGTCTCTGGAAAGAAAAAGAAAGAAAGAAAGATAAATAATATACATAATTATACACAATTTTATCATTCTGAATGGACATTTCAATAGCTTCTAGTTGTTGAAATGTGTTGGCATTTGCTTTGTGATCCGATATGGCTGCATTTTTTACTAATCTGTCTTATGTGTTTGAAAAGAATGTGGACTCTACAACTGTTGGTTGCAGTCTTCAGTCTGTATGTGTCCATTAGATTCAAATCTTTATTAGTTTTATTTATTTATTGATATTTAGAAGGTACAAGTACTTTGTTTTCAACAAAATTTTTACAATGAATATCGTTCATTTAAAAACATAGCCTTTGTCTTACAAATCATAACCCTTTTTACTATTCGTGACTGTGTTGCTGTGTGCTATATCTGTCTGTCTGCTGTGAGAGGGATAGTGGTATAAATAAGCCAGGCAACTTCCTGGAGTTTTAATATTCAAGGAACAGAAAGCTGGTTTGGAGTACAAGAAAAAGGCTCTGACAATCTCTCGAGATCACGTGTCCTGCACATAATAGGTATGGAGATGTCAAATGTGCATCTTTACCTTGGAGAGCAGAAGATGTATAGAAACCTGGCAGCTGCCTTATGGTGAGGAAAGCTGTTGCTATTATACTTGCCTCTCTTACTGACTTTATAATAAGTGTTAAGTAATTGATTTTGACCACTATTTTGTGTTGTTAAGATGTCTTTTCCTTCCGGGGGCATACCTGTTTCTGGAAACAACGCACTGTAAATGCTTTTCTTAAACCAATGTTTCAGTTGAGGAAATGTTGCCACTTGAATCTCCATCTCAGTAAAAGTGGGAATCAACATGGTGGTGGTTGTACTGGATTAGAACCATGCCAGGCACCCAGGGTTTAATCTTCCTGGGTTATATAAATTGAGCAGTTGTTTCCACTGTGATGCTTTGGGAGGCTTTGAGATTAAACGGCTGAGAAGGAATCTTGTTTGATTTCATGGCCGATGTTAAAACGGAACAGTTGCTGTGCTACTCAGTGTAGCCCATGGAAGCTACTCGCCAAACAACCACATAAAGATCAACACATTTATCTAAAAAAAATAAAAAAGAAAAGAAAAGAAAAGAAAAGAAAGCAAGAAAAAAGAATGCAAAAGGAGGTAGCAAAGTTTTTCACAGAATGTCTCACGCAGCAAAATATTTTGAGTACGTGTGACCTGTTAGGCACATCTATTGAGGCATCATGTATGTGTAAATTTATATATTACTATGATTATTATGAATACCATAATATTAAAGTATTTTTCAGATAAAATAAATGGACATTTAAATACTCAGCACATGGAACACTGAATTATTTCAAGCATTTCTTTTTTGAAGACACTTTCCTAGGGATTCAAAGAATACTCATCCCTAATATAAGTAACTTTTGATACAAACACACCAACATCTACTAAAGACTATTTGGGGTATTTAAGATCTGAAAGGCTGTGGTAGAAGAAATATTGAAAGTGAGATGGAGGCTGGGCTCATACCTGTAATTCCAGCACTTTAGGAGGCTGAGGTAGGCAGATCATGAGGTCAGGAGTTCAAGACCAGCCTGGCCAACTTGGTGAAACCCTATCTCTACCAAAAATACAAAAATTAGCTGGGCATTGTGGTTCACACCTGTAATCCCAGCTACTTGGGAGGCTGAGGCAGGAGAATAGCTTGAACCCAGGAGGCAGAGGTTGCAGTGAGCCAAGATTGTGCCCCTGAACTCCAGACTGGGGGACAGAGCGAGAATCTGTCTCAAAAAAAAAAAGTGAAATGGATAGATTGGTAGGAGTGGGTGGGACCTTCACAAACAGAGATTCCCAGAAACATCGTGTGGATGGACTCCAGCTGTGGAAAGCATTTCATCCATCCCTATCACGATGAGAAAATAAGAACATGGATTAATACCAATGTTTCAGAAACTTAAATCTTCCACTTAAAGTTTTTTACTTGGTGTTCTTTTTTTTCCTGACATTATGTCAATACTACTTTTTGGTGTTAAAATAGAAATATGGTGATACTAGCTGTTTTTCTAATACATGTTTACTTGACAACACTAAATATGAACAGCCCTCTGTGATTTTATAAAATGTAGGCGCGTTTTCTTTTTATATTAAATCCATAACTTTCGGACCCAAGATATTTAGAAGAGAGCCCAAGGGCACCAGGATACTAGAACCTGGAGGGGAGGCAGGAGGTGAAGGCACCACTGGCCAAATCCTGTCCTCCTGCCAGAGCTCCACTTGGGGATTGGTTGGTAGATGACCGAGGTCAACTGCTTTTCATTTGATTTCACTGCCCAGGGAACCAAGGACACGGGGTGGACAAGAGCTTGGACTCCAGGTAGTGAGCTCAGCTTTGGGCCCGGGTCGAAGCCAGGCAGATGCTGCTGGGTGTTGTATGTGCCCGGGTTTCAGGGCTGGAGCTGACAACAACCGCACACTCCAGGGTCTCGTAGATGTGTGCCCCGCGCCCCCCCCCCCGCCCCACCCCCGACCCTCTCCCCGCTAAATTTTGAGCTAGAGAGACTGCCATGGCCCTGTTCACAAGGCCCTCAGTCCTCCACTTCTCTCCAGGGGTGCAATTTCCGGCCTCCCCCATCCCCGCCCTGTACCCCTAAATTAGGGTCTTTATCTCCACTAATTGGAAATGGGGGGCGCTTGGGGACAGTGATGATTTTTTTGGGGCAGGGGCAGAGATAGTGAAGTTCCGGGACCCTGGTGCTTTCTTGATTGGTGCAGCGCCCCTCTCTGCAGCCACTCTAGGGTCCCAGGGCCTGGGCAGTGAGCCAGGTGAACCGCCGGAATTCAGGCCTTCGCGTGGGCTCCGGGGCACCTGCAGCACACAGTTCTGGGGGTGTCTGGATGAGACCCTGCCCAGATTAACAGCGTTTGGGGGCGGCGACGGACACTTCTGGGGGCGCCAGTAGCCCAGGAGGCCGAGCCCAGGGTGTCCACGAACTGAGCCTCCATCTTCCTGCCCCAGCGGATGGGGGCGGGGGTCAGGGATTGTGAACATTAAAACCCGCCCCACCACCTCCAAGCCGAGGGCGTCCACTGGGGCCGCTGGCTGGGAGCTGAGATGTTGGAAGGAGCCTCAGGTCAGGAAGGAAAGAAACACAAACAGGACAGGAGCCAGAGCTAAAGAGACCGCCCTTGCCGGCAGGGCCGCCCCTCCAAGACTCGCCCAGGCTGACGGAAAGTCTTCCAAGGTAGCTCCCCGCACGAGTCCTTTTTGCGTGTTTCTACTTCACTTTCCCCTCCGAATGTATCCTAAGGCACCTCACATGCTTTTGTATTAAAGGGTCTTTTATACACTTCTGTTCTACTTATCTGAAACTCTTCCTTGCCTTTATTTATTTATTTATTTATTTATTTATAAGACAAGGTCTCACTGTGTCGCTCAGGCTGGAGTGCAGTGGCGCGATCTCAGCTCACTGCAGCCTCCCTGTGCTCAGGCAATCCTTCTGCCTCAGCCCCCTAGAGAGTTGGGACTACAGGCCCACGCCACCAGCCTGGCTGATTGTTTTTTCAATTTTTCGTAGAGACGGAGGGTCTTGCTATGTTGCCCAGGCTGATCTCCAACTCCTGGCCTCAACTCCTGCCTGGGCCTCCCAAAGTGCTGGGATTACAGGCGTGAGCCACCTTGCCTAGCGTCTCTTCTTTTTTATGTATACATACACATACATATTACACAGGTATTTATATACATACTTACTAAAACGGTTGATGAAACAACACTATCACTATCTTAAAATGGATCAATAAATGAATATTTTTAAATTCATGTTTGCAATGTTTCAAATTACATTTTTATGAAACATAAGATCAAATTTTATTGTAAGTATATACTCTAATCAGATGGATGGACACAGTTAAGGGAATTGTTGGATATTTCCGTTATTGGTTGCCTGGGGCAATGTGCATTGTAAGTTTCAGGCAGATGAGATCTGCAGCTTGGGAGTAAGAAGGGTGAGAAGGGCCCTGGGGCATGGACTCCTTTGGAGACCTGTCCTCTGGCTGACTGATTTTGGGCATGAGAGAGTGTGAACTGTGAGGATCTGGAAATGGATTCCCTGAGACTCTCCAGATCCGCATAACCCCTGGAAAGTCTCTTCCTGCACATCTTGGGTCTCTGGTGCTCTAGCCACAAGCTTTTGTTCCACACCCCATTAGAGACGCTGATCACACTGGAGGGAGACACAGAGCCAGAGGCCAGCCTGGGAACGGGAGGCATAGGGCTCTCCTCACAGTCCAGAGATCTGCGTTTATTTTGAAGTCTTAGGCTTTGGGCCAAGTTTAAAATTCAACAGAAAGCCCCTCTGCAAAAGTCTATCATAAAACAGTTTAAAGACAGGCTTTCCTATGGATCTAAGATCCACCACTCTGACCATTCCCCTGTATCTTTCCTTTAATTTCCTGCTGTCTCTTGAGAATTGGTACTCTGTGTTCACTAGTGTTTGGATTATCGGACAGATATTCTAGCATCTCCTAGTTCTGTTTTGAGGCAGAGTCTCACTCTGTCGCTCAGGCTGGAGTGCAGTGGTGTGATCTTGGCTCACTGCAACCTCTGTCTCCTGGGTTCAAGAGATTCTCCTGACTTAACCTCTCGAGTAGCTTGGATTACAGGTGCACACCACCATACTGGCCTAATTTTTGCATTTTCAGTAGAGACGGGGTTTCACCATGTTGGCCAGGCAGGTTTTGAACTTCTGGCCTTAAGTGATCCACCCACCTTGGTCTCCCAAAATGTTGGGATTACAAGCATGCGCCACTGCACCTGGCCTAGTACCTTCTAGTTCTAATTAGGCTGCATCCATGAGGGTGGAAGAGCTGTCCCTGGAAACAAGCAGTAATTAGGATGAGAAAAGTTGTATTTTATGGGGTTATGCAGTGGTGAGCTTTGTTTGATCGTTTAATGGAAAGAACTTGGAAACTCATGCCCCCTAAAACGTTTATGTAATAGTTTCCCTGCATTGAATTTTTCTACATGAGACTTGGCCCATACAATTTAGAGTTGCTGTCCTATGCTTTTATGTTGCTTTCCCAGTTTCTCTATTTCCATCAGCAGCTGATATCTTTGTAGTTGCTCTAGAGCACAGGGCTCAGTCTTTTCAATCTTGTGGTCTCTTTACACTCTTAAGAATGATTGAGAACCACCAGGAAGTTTTGTGAATGTGGATGGGTTATATCTAGCTATATTTATATATTTTAAGGCTAAGGAATTTAAAAATATTCATTTATTGATTCGTTTTAAGATAGTGATGCACCTGTTTGATGCTAACACCAATAACTTATCTTTATGGAAAAAAATCTGCATTATCCAAAACAACAACAAAATGAAAACAGCGCTTTATTTCACATTTTTGCAAATCTCTGTAATACCTGGTTGAAACGGAGACAGTGGGAGTCTCCTCACTGCTTCTGTATTTGCAGAACCACATCCCACACTCTTGGGAGCATGAGAATAAGAAGGACAAGTAACACTGAGGGCCATTAGAGACATAGTTTTGATCTCATGGACTCCCCTGAAAGGAATAGGAAGCCCTTAGGGGTCCCCTCCAAACAGTGAGAATGCTTGCTCCTAATCAAGGAAGCCAAGCTCCAAGGGTTGCTGGGGAGCTGGAGGAGGCGAGATGGGGCTGCAGGGAGGTTGTCACCAAAACCATGGTTGGGCTCCATTTACTTCACCCCAGGTGGCCCACTGAGCCCACATGGCCACCAGCGCAACTGAAGCAGACCCTGATAGAATCCTGTGTATAATTATTTTAGGATTCACCCATCTTGGCATGCACAAGGCATTTTAATTGAAGAATGTTTTCTAATAACAAAACATTGTAAACCTAAATATGTGGCAATAGTAAAGATTAAGTAAATTATGGTTTCCCGAAGCCCAGTGCTCTGCAGCCATCAAACAGAGAGTAAAAGCGAGAATGTACTGGGTGGAGATAGCCTCAGGATATTTAAAAGCAGAGAACACAAAATATAGAACCGTGTTGTGTATGTTATGATCTTTTTTCTGTGCTTTTGAAAAAGAGAATACACTTATAGCTGGAAAAGACACACCAAACACACTAAACCATATAATTGGTTGTGTTTGGTAAGATGTATGCACTGAAGAGGAAGGGTTCAATTTTTTTTTTTTTTTTCTGAGACAGGCTGGAGTGCAGTGGCGCCATCTCAGCCCACTGCAGCCTCGACCGCCCCGGCTCAAGTGATCGTCCCACCACCTCAACTGTCCCAGTAGCTAGAACTACAGGCGCGCCACCATGCCTGGCTAATTTTTTTTTAGAGATTGGTTCTCTCCAGGTGCCCCAGGCTGATTCTGAATTCCCGGGCTCAAGGGTTCCTCCTGCTTCAGCTTCCCAAAGTGCGGGGATTACCGGCGTGAGCCACCGTGTCCCGCCTGTTTGCAATTTCTAACAGTTTTAAATCTCCTGGCAATGAGTAACGTTATAGTGCCCCAGGTGTTTGGTCCTTTAAGAAAAGGATGGCAGGACGGGTTATCTCGGTGGGAGCGTGTTCCACCTCTGCCCTCCGCCAGCCGCCCTCGCTCGGGCTGCACCCAGGTATTTTCCCCGGGATGAACGAATGGCTCGCCGGCGGACACGCCAGCCCCGCCCCAGGAGCCCCGTTTCCGCCTCCCCTCCCCGCCCACTCCCTGGCGCCCTTCCTATTGGTTCCATGCCGCGCCTTCCCGTTCAATCGCAGCGCTTAGCGCCAGAATTTGAATCTCCGTTTTCGTTTGAATTGGGCGGGCGCGCAGGTTTGGAGGAAGGAAGTGGCGGGCGGACGCAGCGGGCGGGCGGGAGGACTCGGCGGGAGCCCCTAGAGCCGGGCGCCCGGGGACGTAACCTGTAGGGCCACCGGGTCCCCGTCAGGGGCGGCGGCGGGAGCAGCGGGGACTGCAGGCCGGGACGGAGCGAGCGCGGCCCGGCGGGCTGCGGCCGGGTGTGTGCGGCGCGTGGCGGGCGCAGCTTACCAGGCGAAGGTGAGTGCGGCACCGGCTCCTCCTGCGGCGGACTTTGGGTGCAACTTGACGAGCGGTGGTTTGACAAGTGGCCTTGGGGGCCGAATCGTCCCAGGTGAGCTGCGGCCGGGACGCCTGGGAGCTGTCCGGGGTCGAGGGCTAAGCCGCGGGGAACCCCGAGCTCTGCGGGGACGGGCAGGGGACCGACGCGCGGCCTGGGCCCGACTGCTCCTGGGCTCTGGCGAGGGCGTCTGGGTGGAAGCTCCCGGGAGGCGCAGGCGCAGGCGCAGACAGCACTCCGGCCGCGGGTCTTTGGGGCGCCAGGGGCTGCGGTCGGATTGTGCTGGGGTCCCCGCTGGCTAGCTGCGGTGTGCGCCTGTGTGGCCGGGGATAGGTGGACTGGGCACGCGGCTCTTCTTAGCTCCTTTGCTATCAGAGTAACCCGCACCTCTTTTGCAGTGGAAGAGTTGTAAATTTGCTTCAGCAAACCTTTTGGTACCTGGCCTTCCCCTACGGATTATACTCAACTTCTTGTTTAGAAAATGGGGCCCACAAGACGCCTGGTTACTATCAAAAGGAGCGGGGTCGACGGTCCCCACTTTCCCCTGAGCCTCAGTACCTGCTTGTTTGGAAGGTGAGCCCCGCGGGCGCGCGTGGACATTTTAGCTGAGAAAGAGGAAAATATCTTAGTCACAGTACACGGTCCAGAAACGCGCTCTAGGATTGGGTCCTGCTGTCACTTTTCCTTGGTGCTTCTCCCATTCGTTACTAAGTTGACATAGTTGTGTTTTGTTTGTTTTGCCAAATATAAGTTTGATGCTAGTGTTTGTATGTTTAAGTGGTTTTAAAAATCAAGCCAATTTAAAAAATCGATTTTCTAATCTTGCGATAAAGATGTAGATGATCTTCATACCTCACTGGCTTCAGGCAGGCGTCTGAAGACACTGTGTGCCCCCGGGTCCCTCCACAGTGGACATCACTGGCCACTGGGGACCCTGAGAGAATGGAGGAAGGAAGCCATACACTTGCCTCTTGGCTCTTTGCAGCAATAGGAAAATGGGACAGAAAGTCTTCCTGCTTGGAATTTGAGAACTTTTCCTCTTATGTTGCTGTCCCGTTTGGTGGTGGTAATAACACTGTCCCTGTATAACAGGCAAAATGCTAACAATGCCCCTATCAGCCTCTGACTTGTGTCCCACTAGAGGTCTGAGACGGGGTCACTTCCTGTGTGGTCTGGGCCCTGAATCCCATCCCGGCCTCACCCCATCCTCCCAATCCCATCCCTACCTTGTTCCTCCCGCCTAAGGCATTCCAAGCCCTTGTTCACCTTGGTTACTTCTTACACACTTGGAAGTTTATGATGGGAAAGTTCTCCCCTTCCCCAAACTTGTGTGATTTCCATCATTCAGGCATCAGGTGAAATGTCACCTCCGAGGAAGCCTTGCATGAAAACTTGTGTTTCCCATCCCACAGCTTCATGGGTGAGTTGTGGGTTTGTCTCCCACTAGGCTGAGCTCCCCAAAGGCAAGGACTGTCTTGTTACTACCCAGGGGGTGTGATCAATACCTAGCATTCTGGCAAGGGTCAGTAGAAACACCGGCTGGAGCCACCGATTTGCAATCGCTTGAGAGCAGTGGTTCTCACAGGAGGGTCATCTTACCTTCCAGGAGTCATTTGAATTTCCATGTCACAATACAGGAGAGGGACATGCGCTGTCATCGCGAAGGAGAGGTCAGGGTGGACAACCTACCAGGCTCAGGGCAGCCCCCACAATACAGAAGCATCTGACCCAAGATGTCAACAGTGCCAAATCTCAGAAACACCCATCCACCCATAGTCGTCCTCCTGCCAAACAAATTCTCAGTTGTAGGGGATAGTCTCTCCTTTGCTCAGATGTCCTGTTACCTTAAAGTCAAATTATTTTATTTGGGGTTAAGGTAGCTTTTCACTTTCCATACATACCTTTCTCTTAAAAAGGAAAAATACAAACATTTCATCTCAAGTGGCAGTCCTTTTGCTTTTCATACAGTAGTCCTTGAATATATTTTCATGCAAGATTTTATAATTTAGAAACTAATTCCTAAGTGTTTGGTCACATGACCTGGGTAGGATGAGAGATTCTTAGACGCCAAAGGTTCAGATGGAGAACAGACAGGGCATTGCATAATTTGTTCAAATTTTTAAGATCACGGGCTAGAACAGGCACACTGAAGACTCTAGGAACCTACTAATGAACTGTTCTGATTATTAGTTTGTGTAGGTTTAGGAACTGTCTCTTCCGCTACTTTGCTGTGGTGTTAGCTTTCTGTGGAAAAACAAGTTGAATTTAGATTTTTTTTGTTGCGCGCAAGTTAGTATTTTTATTTAGAGACTTTTGAATCTGTCCGTAAATTCAGTGTAGTTTTAAAACAACAATGAAAAGCTCACCCATAATGAGCATCTACTATGTGCTAGGCAAATAAGTGACATGTACATCCATTTAATTGTTTGAACATCACATGATGTAGCCATTTAATTGTCTGAACATCACATGATGTAATCTCTTTATTGTATATGAAGAAACTGATGCACAAAAGTGCTAGCATAAAATAAGCACATTTGGGGATGATTAAACCTCTAAACATATTTAACATTACAAACAAACGTTTTTGAGAAAGCACAGAGTATTAAAAAATAGTCATTTTCCAAAATTGATGTAAGTACTCCTTTATTTGTGTCTTTTAAGTATAGCTTTTTATATAAAAGGTAATTCAATTTGTATTCTAGTGTTTTCCCTTATTTTCATGTACTCTCTGTTTTAAAGATCTAATAGTTACATGATTAATACTTCCAAAAGTTCTTTGCAAAATGCAAGATCGTTTACATTGCCCATTTTGTTACTCCTTTATGTCAATTATGTTTACAGATCAAACATTCTAGTCAAATTGTGTTTTATTTTGGGAAACTGAGGTAATGTTTTAAAAAGTTACAACAACCAAAAAAACCTTCTTCTTTTGTATGAAGGGGTATTGAATGTGATATCCGTATCCAGCTTCCTGTTGTGTCAAAGCAACACTGCAAAATTGAAATCACTGAGCAGGAGGTGAGTGGTTTTTTGGAAATCTACTTTTAAAGCTTTTAGTTCACTTTCAATCTGTTCATTAGTTACATATTTTCCCCTTCTTTTCACTTGCAGGCAATATTACATAATTTCAGTTCCACAAATCCAACACAAGTAAATGGGTCTGTTATTGATGAGCCTGTACAGCTAAAACATGGAGATGTAATAACTATTATTGATCGATCTTTCAGGTAGGTAAAAGCTGATTGGTCTAACAGTAAATGTCATCTTATGATTAACTGTAAACTAGTGTCGTAGTCAACTGTCATTCTTCTTTAATGTTCATGGATGTCGAAGTATTTCAGGTTTTCATTCTCAACACTAATCTTAATTTAAGAGGATATGGATCTAGGAAGATGACTAATTGGGACAAAATGTGATGGAATTCAAGGATTTGGGTGCAAATAATTATGCAGAGGAAGGTTGACCTTGTCCTAAAGGAGTTTGTTATTTTCTTCCGAGTGTTGTGAAACTGCATGAGATTTTTCTATTCTTTTTTATTTTAAAGCAAAATACACTCAGAGAAAAAGGTACAAAACAAGATGGACAGGTCAATTTATCATGCGAACACCCTTTTGATCACTACCTATTATAATAGGACTGATTTGTGCTCTCCCAAAATTTATATTTTGAATTCTTAACCCCTCGTACCTTAGGCTGTATTTGGAAAGAGGGCATTTAAAAAGGCAATGAAGGCTTTTTGAGGCCGTTAGTATGGGCCCTAATCTGATGATTGGTGTCATTATGAGAGGAGATTAGGGAACACATGCACAGAGGAAAGCCCACGAGAAGCAGCAGCAAGAAGGCAGCCATCTGCGAGTCAAGGAGAGAGGCACAGAGAAGTCCAATTCAGCTGACACCTTGCTCTCGGACTTCTGGCCTCCAGCACTGAGAAGGGCATGTCTGTTGTTCAAGGCGTTCAGTCTGTGGGACTTTATTATGGTGGCCCTAGCAGACTAATATACCACCAGCTTATATAGAACATTTCCAGAAGCATTTTAAAATGCTGTTTTCTAATCACGACTTCCTTCCCTCAGCAAGTAGACCATCATTTTGGCTTTCAGGATATCAAATGTCTCGAATTTCACTGCCTAAGCATGGATCTCTGAACACACTACAGTTTTGTCTGTTCTTATGAAAGTCCTTAACAGTGATATAAGAATGTATACATTTGTGCCTGGCTTGTGCTTTTATGTGTGTGAGATTCATAGCATGTTGGGCATCTCTGTAGTTTGTTCCTTCTCATGGCATAAGTATTTCACTGAAAAAAATATGTTTAATATATACAATAATATACATAACTATACAGAGTTCGTTTATTCTTGATGGACATTTGATTAATGTCCAGTCTTTGAAATGTGTCAGGGTTTGCTTTATGAGCAGATACAGTTAATTATTTCACTAATCTGCCTTGTGTAATTGAAAACTGTATTCTACAGTGTCTCAGATATTTCATTTATATACGTGTGTGTATATATATACACACACACACAGATACACACACTCCCGTTAGATTCAAATCTTCTATATTCTAATAAATTTTTCCCTATTATTCTAAGAGATATGTTCAAATCACCTTCTGGGGATTGATTGATTGATTTGTTTTTATCTCTTGTCAGTTTTTGCTTTGTATATTTTGAGGCTGTACTGTGGTGTACAAACTTACAATTATGTCTTCTTGGTGCATGGAACTCTTTGTCATTTAGAGATGTCCTCTTTTTAGCAATGCTTTCTTTTCTGCTTAATGTTTCCTTTGGATGATGAATATGGCTAAACTAATTTCCTTTTGGTTAGTGCTTGTGTAGTATAACTTTTCCCACCCCCTTAATTTTAACTTTTCATAATTATTATGGTTTATTTTAAGTTGTCTCTTGGAACCTGTTGTCAGATGAACTCTCGTGTTTAACTGGAATATCTTCTTGCTGGATTGATCCTTATGTAAAATGTCCTTTTTCTCTATGAATAATTTTTGTCTGAGGTGATTTTGTGTCATGTTAGTACAGCACTGCAGTTCCCCTCTGCTTGCTGTTTGCATGGTATATCTTTTCTCATGCTTTTATTCTAAAGGATTGTGTCTTTGAATCAAAATTGTGTCTCTTGTAGACAACATATTATTTGAGTCATTTAAAAATCCATTTTGCTAAATGGATCTCTGTCTCTGTTATTGTCTTCATTTGTATTAGATAGTTATTTTTTTAATGCACCACTTAAATTCTCTGGTCATTTATTTTACTGTGCTTCTTGGAAGTTTGCCTTCATTTTTAAACAGTATTTTTATTTAATACAGACTTCTATGTAGGAAGTTTTGTTTGTTTGTTTGTTTTTGAGACAGTCTTTCTCTGTCACCCAGGCTGGAGTGCAGTGGTGTGATCTTGGCTCACTACAACCTCCACCTTCCAGGTTCAAGTGATTCTTGTGCCTCAGCCTCCCAAGTAGCTGGGATTACAGGCGCGCACCACAACGCCCAGCTAATTTTCGTAATTTTTAATAGAGATGGCGTTTCACCATGATGGCCAGGCTGGTCTCGAACTCTTGACCTCAAGTGATCCACTCTGTTCAGCCTCCCAAAGTGCTGAGATTACAGGCATGAGCCACCACGCCCCGCCTATAGGTAGGAAACTTTTGATGTGTATTGGAGAGCTGAACTATTTTTCCAAAACAAGATATTATCCAAACTGAGATAAATTCAGATGATTAGACATCTAACAAAGATTAGAAAGTGAATCTTAGAAAGGGAGACTTGATTCCGAACTCTGTACCATGGAAACAATTTCAGATGTCTGACTGCTTCAGGTCTTACTTAGGTTGCCTATAAATTCAAATCAGGTCATTTCACTGAGGCCAAAAAGTTTTCATTATGCAAAATAAAGGATTGCTTCTATGACTTGATCACTGAAGCTTGCCAGGATAATTATGTATCTTGCTAAATGTGATCTTCCTGAGATGTACCTGTCTTGTTCAGATACAGACTGAGTATGTGGGAAACTGAAGTGATCATAGTGTTCTAAGATATAGCTTTGTAGTTACCCTGTAGTGTAAGCGTAGCTTTTTATTTACCCTAAAGTATGTGACTTCACAACGTGAGAAAGACTCAGTTACCTACAGGCTTCCTGGCTGGCCTTCCAAGCCATCAGATGATTTCCATGGACTTAAACTAGAAGAAACTTTGCTCTCATGTGCATTAGCTTCTGTCATAGAAGGTGCTTGGGAATATTGTCAAATCATACCTGGGCTAGTCGTCAGTGATCACAGGTTAATCTGGGTCCCCAACCTCTGACAGTGGTGTTTCAAAACAAACTTGATGCAACTAATCCTAGTTTTTAGTGTAAGAGCGCTTTTCTAACTCTAAATTTATTTCTTTATATAAGGTGATATCTTGAACCAAACGCAAAGTTTGTTCTTTGATCCTTGGACATTAAGTGGATATGGAGACTTCCTCCCCAGGGCATAAATTTTTAATCAGGATCTGTGTCTGTCATTCTATGTACTGCAGGTATGAAAATGAAAGTTTTCAGAATGGAAGGAAGTCAACTGAATTTCCAAGAAAAATACGTGAACAGGTGATGGGCAATATCCAAGTTTGGGCTCTGATTCTTTTTGATGATATGAAATCATTTATGTATGCTTTGATGATTTCTTACTTGAAATCAGTTACAAAGAGGGTGGTTACTGGTTATAGTAGGAAAATGTAACTAAAGTATTAAAACAAGTTGAACTTAGACATATTAAAATAATCTAAAACAATATTTCCTCTTTGTTGTTCAAAATCAGGGTACTAAGTTGGTTTTACACTTTTGGCCAAAAAGTCTACTAGAGTATGTTATGAACCTTTTGCAAGCCCATGATTAGGATAACCCCAACACATAGAGGTAGCATTTGGGAATTGCATTATCTGGTGGCTCATTTTGTCTCCCAGTCATTGTACTCATCCATCTTTATGTGTCTGAAATAATCACATTATGAAAATCGTGAGTGCCAAAGATGCTTCTCTATTTTGATAGACGATCCATGAAACAAGAAGAGGGATCCTGTGCTTTGTCATGTGAAAGAATCCTATAGTTTGAGTATATCAGTGTGGAACAGGTATTCAAATTGTACAGCTTATGAAAACATAATTGTCAGCACATGCTTGGAAATTTAGATAGTTTGAGTATATCAGTGTGGAAGAGGCATTTTAGTTGTACAGCTTATTAAAACACAATTGTTGGCATGTGTTTCGAAATTTAGTGGGATTTAGGCTTAGGATAAGCCCTGAGAGTTCATATTTTTTCTGCATTTTGGAGTGCTCCTAAAGCTAGTTTCAGATGAGCTCCTTGGAATATCTTGGCTTAGGAGAGTTATCTTAGGTGCACCTGAAATTAGCCATAGGTACTCTTGAATTTCAACATTTCTGCCTTTTTTTTTTTTTGAGATGGAGTCTCACTCTGTCACCCAGGCTAGAGCGCAGTGGTGTGATCTTGCAACCTCTGCCTCCCGGGTTCAAGCGATTCTCCTGCCTCAGCCTCCCGAGTAGCTGGGACTACAGGTGCCCGCCATCACACCTGGCTAATTTTTGTATTTTTAGTGGAGACAGGGTTTCACCATATTTGCCAGGCTGGTCCGAACTCCTGACCTCGTGATCCACCCACCTGGGCCTCCCAAAGTGTTGGGATTACAGTCTTGAGCCACCGTGTCCAGCCCATTTCTGCCATTTAAAGTACTGCTTCTTCCCTAGAGGAACAGCCTTAATGTTGAGCCTGGTGGTCATCAGTTTCTGTGCTGGAAGCCAGTTTTTGAGGCTTCCCACGCTGCAGCCGCCAGGCAACTTGCTAGTCTATGGGAGTAAATAAACCAAAAAGCCAGTTGAACTATGGGTTGGGTATGTGCCCCTCAACAGTCTAGGAACTGTTTGTTCTGTTAGTGGTCTGTGATACAGTAAGTACTGAAATGGAGTATGTAGGAAAGATGACAGCAATTCGACAGCAATTTTTTGGCTATTGAATATAATCATCCAACAAAAGTGAGATTATATACTTTACATATTCATAATTTTATTAATAGTTCATTTATATCGTTTAGTCATAAGATTCTTGTTCCATTTCAGATTGGAAATAAAAAAAAATCCCTCACATAGTTTTAGAAGCAAGGTGTTATGTATCAGGAAACTTGAAATTGATTAAGGAAGTTAGATTCCTTGCCTTTGGTAATATTTTTTAGATATTTTCTTAATAATCCAGATGATAAGCTTTTCTTCCTTTGGGACATCAGACTTTTATAAAAGTTTTATATATGTGTTATTCTTTAGTTCTTCCACCCTTCCAGAAACAATTCCATATGAAGGAAAGTTAGGGCGCTGTCTCTGGGGAGCCAGGTAGGGGCGCTGCACCTGCTCCCAGGCTGTGAGGTTGCAGAACCTGTGAATGTACCATGTGTGCCTGTGCCATGAATTTACTTAGGGTGAATCCAGGCTCTCAGATCCACCCTAAGTATCCACCAGCCAAGAGGGCCCACATGCCAAGTGGAGCCTCAGTTCATCCACAGGTCCTATGGTCCATTTCTGAGAAAACTGATGAAGCCGTCAGTAGTTTTGAGCTCATGGGGGGTTACAGATCTTCAGTGTAGGTGATGTTTAATATTGACTTTGGTTCTTCCGCAATAGGATGTTGGGAAATAACTTTAAAGGAAGTTATAACAACGCACCAAGGTTTGATTTTAGTAATTTTAAGCCTCGAGTTTGTTTCCTGTTAATCACTCACTATTTTTTAGCGAGTCAGCTAAGAAGTACTTTTATCCTGACCACTGGCTCCCAATTGACTTGAGCTCATTTCTCAGTCTTTAAAAGTCATAGGAGTGGTTTGGTAAAGGAAACAATTTTTTGTTGTTTTTATTGTTATTTTTTTTTGAGACAGAATCTCGCCCTGTTGCCCAGGCTAGAGTGCAGTGGTGCAATCTCTGCTCACTGCAACCTCCGCCTCCTGGGTTCCAGCACTTCTCCTGCCTCGGCCACCTGAGTAGCTGGGACTACAGGCACCCGTCACCACATCCAGCTAATTTTTTGTATTTTTAGTAAAGATGAGGTTTCACCATATTGGCCAGACTGTTCTCAGACTCCTGACCTCAAGTGATCCACCCACCTTGGCCTCCCAAAGTGCTGGGATTACAGGCATGAATCATCGTGCCCAGCCAGAAAACAATCAATAATATTTTCACTGTTGTGACTGTCAGTATTTAGAAAGGCCTGCAAATAACTGCTCTTAATTTCCCAACTTACAGGAGCCAGCACGTCGTGTCTCAAGATCTAGCTTCTCTCCTGACCCTGGTGAGTAGTGGTTTGGTTTTGTTCCAGAATCCTGGAAGATCAGGTCTTTGCGAAGCATATTGGCAAAGAAGGGGCAGCAAGAATGCAAGTGCTAAATGTCTAGCCTGTCAGAAGTGGAGGAGGTGTCATTTAACATGTCAACAACAGACAGATGCCTAACTGTTTGCCCTTGGCGGCTGATGGTGTGCTGTGCTTAAGAGAGACTCTAGATATGAGAAAATTGCCTGTTCAGCTGTCAACTCAGTTCTCAATAGTTAGATAGCATGTGATATTTCATACTGGTTATTGGAGCTAATGTGATTTATTTATTTGAATCATAATTCTAGTATCATAAGACTTGCAAGTTTTAGGCATTAAATAATTTATAGGCCAAGTAAAAGCTAGCTTTAAGACAACCTGAAACAATTAAAATATTGAATTCCACAAATGTTAATCATTGAGAAAATGTTGAACTTCTGTTTCTTATTTCATAATTCATTGCCAAGATGAGAAAGCTCAAGATTCCAAGGCCTATTCAAAAATCACTGAAGGAAAAGTTTCAGGAAGTCCTCAGGTACATAACAAGAATGTCAAAGAAGACACCGCAGATGACTCAAAAGACAGTGTTGCTCAGGGAACACCTAATGTTCGTTCCTCAGAACATGCTGGATATAATGTCAGAAATGCAGCTGATCCCATTTCCGGGGATTTTAAAGAAATTTCCAGGGTAAAATTAGTGAGCCATTACGGCGAATTGAAGTCTGTTCCCACTATGCAATGTCTTGACAATAGCAAAAAAAATGAATCTCCCTTTAGGAAGCTTTATGAGTCAATGAAGAAAGAGTTGGATGTAAAATCACAAAAAGAAAATGTTCTACAGTGTTGTAGAAAATCCGGATTACAAACTGATTACACAACAGAAAAAGAAAGTGCTGGTGGTTTACAGGGGGAGACCCAACTATTGGTCTCATGTAAGTCAAGACCGAAATCTGGTGGAAGCGACCACGCTATGGCAGAGCCTGCTTCACCTGAACGAGAGCTTGACCAGAGCAAGGGGAAGAGAAGAGACGTGGAGTCTGTTCAGACTCCCAGCAAGGCTGTGGGCACCAGCTTTCCTCTCTGTGAACCAGCTAAAATGAAGACCCCTGTACAATATTCACAGCAACAAAATTCTCCACAAAAACATAAGAACAAAGACCTGTATACTGCTGGGAGAAGAGAATCTGTGCATCTGGGTAAAAGGGAAGGCTTCAAGGCTGGTGATAAAACTCTTACGCCCAGGAAGCTTTCAACTAGAAATCAAACACCAGCTAAAGTTGAAGACACAGCTGACTCTGCCGCTAAGCCAGAAAATCTCTCTTCCAAAACCAGAGGAAGTATTCCTACAGATGTGGAAGTTCCGCCTACAGAAACTGAAATTCACAATGAGCCATTTTTAACTCTGTGGCTCACTCAGGTTGAAAGGAAGATCCAAAAGGATTCCCTCAACAAGCCTGAGAAATTGGACACTACCGCTGGAGAGATGTGCTCTGGGTTACCTGGTCTTAGTTCAGTTGATATCAGCAACTTTGGTGATGCCATTAGTAAGTTTATTTAATTGTAAATTTGTTTTTTCTAAAAGATGAACAACTTCCATGTAGCTATGAGATCTTCCTTCATTCAGTAGTGATTAGCTTTGTGGAAGAGAATGTAAGCGCGTAAGGCACAGGGAGAAGACAGACACGCACACTGTTTTTGCTGACAGATGAATGCTGAAGGCCTAGGTAATTATAACAAGAAATGACAGAGGAGATGGAGGTTGTCAGGGAAGCATGAAGCAGGGGTTATTGAAGGAGATAGGGTGGCCCCAAAAATATTTGATTCTCCTCCATCTATCACAAAATAGAAAAGAGAATAATCATAATTGCTTTTCACATGGAGTTCTGAACTACAATCAACTGTATCATGAGTTTGGTCGTGTGGAATAAATCACTGGAAATCATTGAACATAGTGGTAGTTCTCAGGTGTTGATACTCTGGTTTCAGAGTGTCCTACAAACAATTTGCTGTAAACACTGGACTGTACCCATGAGTCTATATGCCAGGCAGATTTCCACGTGCTTGGCAGACATGAACGCTTGATCCTTGGTGCAGTAGCAGTGCCCATGGCTAGGTTGTCTTTTTAGATCTGTGTCACAAATGAGGAAACGGACAACCCAAGGCCACCCAAGCAGTGGCAGAGATAGGACCTTCACAGCAGATATGCTAGCTCCTTGGGAGCTTCCTACACTCCTAGGGATTGGCTATTAGAAGAAAAGTTGTCTGGGCCATAGATGCGGTATTCGTACTCCAGGCTCTGTTTCTGCAGGTGGCCCGTAGCGGTGGGGCATGAGGCTATCGATAAAATAAGGCCTGTAACATCAGTCTCAGTGTTCCACCAAGCCTCCTCATGGGAAAGCATCACTTAGGCAAGGGGTTTACATTAATTGGTGGCTCAGGAAAATGTGTGGCCGGGACTGAGCTCAGAACCACCTGGAGGAGTTTTTACAGCTCATGCATTCCGGTCAGTGGGTGGGTCAGGGTGAGGTCCAAGTGCATGTCTTTAGAGAGTTCTCTCCGGCTGTCGTCCCCCTACTCCAAGGTGAAAACTACTGCTGCAGACTCCTCCTTTCTATGTCCGCGCATAATGTTTCAGCATTTTAAGGAAAGCCTCTGTACTGTCCAGTGGAAACTTGACGTCTCAGTGGCCACTCCCGCAATCCTTCAGGAACCCTTAGTAGCTTAGCTTCGCCAGGACTGCAAGAATGGAGGCGTGCTGTGGGTGGTGTTTCGATGACTTTTCACTTGGTTCGTGTTTAATACTAATGTGAAGTAAATCACTAGTCTCAGTGTGTTTTTTCATTGCTCTTTCCACGTTTGTATTCATTACTTTAGATGAGAGTGAGGGAATACCTTTGAAAAGAAGGCGTGTGTCCTTTGGTGGGCACCTAAGACCTGAATTGTTTGATGAAAACTTGCCTCCTAATACGCCTCTCAAAAGGGGAGAAACCCCAACCAAAAGAAAGTCTCTGGTAACGCACACTCCACCTGTCCTGAAGAAAATCATCAAGGTGAGTTGAACAATTAGCATTCCCATTCACATCCAGTGGCTCACACACCGGGTACATATTCCTTTCCAAATACTGACACAAGTGGAATTATGATGAAGACCTTTATTTATCTATTTATTTACTTATTTATTTATTTGAAGAAACAAGTTTTTAAAAAGACGAAATGAAAGCTCATTGATACGGGTGCCAGCAAAGGAGCCCCTGGGTCCCTGACCATGGTGCTGATGCGACCGAGTCGGGGGAGTCCTTGATGTTGTCCTTTTCGTGCAGAAGTTCCCAGACACTCATGCTTACAGCACTGCGTAATCACCTGCAGGCACCGTCAGAATAACCAATTACAAAGATTCTGGATACATTACCACATTGACCCACAAGGATTGTTTTACTTTCTTTTAGAGTTACAAGGCTATAGTTAAGGCGTTTACCTGGTGTAAAGGAAAATCATCAATGGCACATCTAGCTTTTACACCATCAGCTTTGAGAATATTTGCTTACCTCTTCCTTTGCTGTGTTGTCCTTCCTGGGTTTTACACCCCTGGGAACTCATGACTCTATAGCTCATAACCTTCATAATGGGGCCTGGGCGGTCTTTCTTTTCTTCTGTTCCCAACAGGAGTGGAAAGTGATGCCTGGCTCCCTTTCCATTTTACACTGGCTCCCAGGGGCAAGCGGCCCTCCTTCCATGTGGGCTGCGGGGCCTAGGTGCCCACGGCTGGTATTTACTGGGACTGAGATCAGATCCTGCTTGTCTTTCACTGATCAGGACGTTCATTCCACCTTTCTACCTGAAATGACCTCACTTCAGACTTCGCTTGCTTCTGTTTCCTGTTTTTCCTTCAATGACTGAGACAGTCTCACCTCTACCATAGTCTTGAAAGACAGTGGCTTAAGCATTTGATGCTTCTAGATTTAAACAGCTGAAATTCTTAATTGAATAGGTTTTTATCAGTCATTCCAGAGATGTCACATCCTTGTTAAAGCTTCTTGTCAACAATTTTGTCTTGTCAGGAACAGCCTCAACCATCAGGAAAACAAGAGTCAACTTCAGAAATCCATGTGGAAGTGAAGGCACAAAGCTTGGTTAGAAGCCCTCCAGCTCCTAGTCCTAGGAAAACTCCAGTTGCCAATGATCAACGCCGTAGGTCCTGCAAAGCAGCCCCTGCTTCCAGCAGCAAATCTCAGACAGAGGTTCCTAAGAGAGGAGGGAGAAAGAGCGGCAACCTGCCTTCAAAGAGAGCATCTATCAGCCGAAGTCAACATGATATTTTACAGATGATATGTTCCAAAAGAAGAAGTGGTGCTTCGGAAGCCAATCTAATTGGTTAGTCTTGCGTTAGAACACATATATTAAGGTGAATTGTTTCATGAATGCTAGTTTTTGAAAAGTTTCATCATCTTTTTCCTTTGACAGTTGCAAAATCATGGGCAGATGTAGTAAAACTTGGTGCAAAACAAACACAAACTAAACTCATAAAACATGGTCCTCAAAGGTCAATGAACAAAAGGCAAAGAAGACCTGCTACTCCGAAGGTAGGGGCCTCACTGAATGCTGCTTTACACATCTGGGTGTCATGGAAGCTTGCATTCAGTGTGGATTCACGCTTTAATGTCCTGTTTACCTCCTTCCTATTTTCCACAGAAGCCTGTGGGCGAAGTTCACAGTCAATTTAGTACAGGCCATGCAAACTCTCCTTGTACCATAATAATAGGGAAGGCTCATACTGAAAAAGTACATGTGCCTGCTCGACCCTACAGAATGCTCAACAACTTCGTTTCCAACCAAAAAATGGACTTTAAGGAAGATCTTTCAGGTAAAAACATAGCCTTAGATCTTATAAATCTTTTGACTCTACTGTTTTTTACTGTGTTAATGTTTGTTTTGCTAACTATGTTCATCTGCTGTGAAAGGGATTATAAAAAACGACTGAGTCACCTTTCTGGGGTCTTAGTGTTCAGGGAAGACAAAGCTGGTTTGGCTTGTAAGGACAAGTCTCTACTAATTTTTGGGATCACGTGTCCTGTGTGAAATAGGTGTGGAAATGTCAAATGCATATCTTTACCCTGGAGAGCAGTGTATACATAGAAAGCTGGAAGGTGCTTTACAGTGAAGAGAGTTAACTTGTTATACCTGCAGCTACACTAATAGTTTATCCCAGGTGTGGACCAGTTGTTTTTGAGCGATATTCTGCTTCTTCAGGATTTACTTTCTAGGTAGCTTAACTTTCTTGAAAGAAAGCCGTATGAGAAGATTCCCATAAACAATTGATTGTTGAAGAAATGTTTCCACTCGATTCCCACTCTGGGTAAATTGTGGCTTGACTTGTGTAATTTAAAGTGGGAATGGCCAGCACGGTGGCTCACGCGTGTAATTCCAGCACTTTGGGAGGCCGAGGTGGGCGGATCACCTGAGGTCCGGAGTTTGAGACCATCCTGGCCAACATGGTGAAACCCCGTCTCTACTAAAAATACAAAATTAGCTGGGTGTGGTAGTGCATGTCTGTAGTCCCAGCTACTCGGGAGGCTGAGGCAGGAGAATCACTTGAACCCGGGAGACAGAGGTTGTGGTGAGCTGAGATTGCGACATTGTACTCCAGCCTGGGCAACAGGAGCGAAACTCCGTCTCAAAAAATTAAAAAATAAAATAAAGTGGGGATGATGTAGCAGATAGGGATGGTGGCAGGAGAGCGTTTGTAGGTTTTGTGTTGTATAATTTGTCCAGTAGTTTCTACCGTGTACTATTTGGAAGGGTGGTGAGAGTTGAATTGAACAGGGGAAACCTTATTTTTGTTTTCTAGCAGATTGAGTTGTAAGAGTTGTACTCCTCCGTAATGGATGCAACATACACTCTGATGAGTCATATTCGGATCAGTTCATTAATCTTTTTTAAAAAACCAAGAAGACAAAAATACAAGACCAAAACAAAAAATATAGATATGTATATATGAGTATTCTTGTAAATTATGAACATGTATGAATGTTCTAATATGTGTGTTACAAAATGTTAAAAACAAACCCTCAAAAATACTTTCTAGGAAAAACAAAATGCTAAATACTCAGTGTGTGGGACAGTGGATTGTCCCCAGCATCCCAGCGTTCTTTGTTTTTCTTTTTTTTTTTTTGAGACAGTGTCTCTCTCAGTCACCAGACTGGAGTGCAGTGGCACAATCTCAGCTCACTGCAGCCTCCAACTCCCAGGTTCAAGCAATTCTCCTGCCTCAGCCTCCCAAGTAGCTGGGACTACAGGTGTGTGCCACCACACCCAACTGATTTTTGTATTTTTAGTAGAGATGGGGTTTCACCATGTTGGCCAGGCTGGTCTCTATCTCCTGACCTCGTTAATCTGCTCACCTCAGCCTCCCAAAGTGCTGGAATTACAGGCGTGAGCCATCACGCCTGGCCCGTTCTTTCTTTTAAGATGGTTTCCTAGAGTCAAGCAGTTCTCACCTGTTAGTATGAGTGAATTTCATTACAAAACATTAGCATCTGCTGAAGACTAAATCCTAGGCATTTTATGTAGAAGGGGAGATTTTTGTGAATGGACTGGTTTGGAAGGGAGTTTTCAGAACAGGCTTCCCCTAAACATTTTGCGTATGACTGCCAGGTTGAAATAGCACTTGCATCCAGTGAGGCCAGAATGATACAAGTAAGGAGGACATGAGATGATAAGAGTTTTGCAGAGTTGCAACTTCTATATAAATTGCTTTGTTATTATTTTTTTCCTGAGATTATATCAGTACTACTTTTTTTGGTGTTAAAATGTTACCTGCAGCTACACTAGTAGTTTATCCCAGGTGTGGACCAGTTGTTATTGAGCAATATTTTGCTTCTTCAGGATTTACTTCCTAGGTGGCTTAACTTTCTTAAAGCCCTATGAGAAGATTCCTGTAAACAATTGATTGTTGAAGAAATGTTTCCACTCGATTCCCACTCTCAGTACATTGTAGCCTGACTTGTGTAATTTAAAGTGGGGATGGCCGGCACGGTGGCTCACGTCTATAATCCCAGCACTTTGGGAGGCTGAGGCCTCCTATCATTCCAAATGGAATAATAATGATATAAAATTTTTTAAAAATATATATTATTACTTGACAGTACTAAAAATGGGCAGCTCTTTGTCACTGTCTAAAATGTGGGCACATGTTATTTGTATTTTAAACCTAGAACTGAGCACCCAAGACTTTGAGAAGCATGAAGGCATTTGGCCTCTAGATCCCAGCAGGGAGGCCTGTGGGTCTCAGGAGCCTATCACCAGCTTCCGTGCTCCAGAGCTCAGGTGTGGGGTCTAGTTAGAAGGACCACAGAGGTCAACTAACTTCATTTGTTTCCTTTCCAAGAAAAGCAAAGCAAAGAGCATAACATATCTTCTCTTTGCTTTCTTTTTTACAAAATGAGTACATTATTGATGGAATCACCCTTTTTATGAGGCCTATGTACCAGGAATTCAAGGGAGGAATCTGCTGTTATTTCCCACCATTTGCATGTCACATGTGAGGACTGGGATGGTTGTTTGCATGTTAGCAATATGTCAATCACTTTTCATATGTCTTCCTGTAACAGGAATAGCTGAAATGTTCAAGACCCCAGTGAAGGAGCAACCACAGTTGACAAGCACATGTCACGTTGATATTTCAAATTCAGAGAATTTGCTTGGAAAACAAGTTCAAGCAACTAATTCAGGAGAAGAACCTCTGCTGCCCACCTCAGAGAGTTTTGGTCGGTTTCCTTGTTTCCTACCACTGTGATGTTTTGGGATAGGAACATACAGTATTATGTTTTTAGAAGCAGTATGATATTACTTCTCTAAAAGAAATGTTCCTGGCAGAAAATACCATTTCCATCTTCTCTATTCTAATTGAAAAGGAGATTTCAATCAGCAGTTGAACTAACATTGGCATTCATTGACTTACATAGAAAGAAAGACTCCGTTAATGTGTGTAAATGACCTGTGTACACTTTTGGCTTCTTTATTATAAGTAACCAGGGAGACGTAGCAAAAAAGTACAATGGTGTCTCACCATATTTACGTATAAATTACTCAAATTCAAAATTATTGCCAATTACAAAACAAAAGATAACAGTTTGTATACTGTACAATTATTCCTGCTAACCTTCTAGGTGGGAGCAGGCCCGGGATGAGTGTGAGATGGGAGATGAGAATCTGTCTAATCTCTCATTTGGCACTGGTCACTGTGTTCCTGTCATAGAGGGAACAGCTTGCTACCCTGAAGATGTTTGTGGTAGGTAAACATTTCCTGTGTAATATGGACCCTAACCACACAAGGATAATCCATGTTATTTTATTGGTGATTTAAGGCAAGAAACAGCTGTTTGTTTCTGATGTTTGAAGGAAAAAATGCCTATATTTTCGTCAATGACACAGGGCATGACAACCTTTGGAGGATCCTTCTTAAGCAATATTTTTACCTTCTATAATCATTTCAGCATCTGACTTGCTTAATGATGACCCCACTATAGCACCAAATAATATTATTCTTAATTGTGCATGGCTTTTATAAAACAGATTTATAGACACATAAGTAGCCTTGTTGTTAAGTGAATACGAAGCTGAATATTTAGTTTTTTACTATATTTTATGAGGCTATAATACTCGATTGACATGAGACACTAATAGAATGTATTTATTTTATATGTTTTTATTTCAGGAGGAAATGCGTTCTTCAGTGCACAGAATTCAGCAAAACAGCCATCTGATAAATGCTCTGCAAGCCCTCCCTTAAGACAGCAGTCTATTAGAGAAAATGGAAACATAGCAAAAACTCCCAGGAACACCTACAAAATAACTTCCGTGGAGTCAAAAACTTCAGATACTGAGACAGAGCCTTCAAAAACAGTATCCATCGTAAACAAGTTAAGAAGGTCTATGGAGTTCAGAAATATACAGAAGCTACCTATAGAAAGTAAGAGTGAAGAAACAAATACAGACATTGTTGAGCGCATCCTAAAAAGATGTCAGAAGGCAACACTACTACAACAAAGGAGAGAAGGAGAGATGAAGGAAATAGAAAGACCTTTTGAGACATATAAGGAAAATATTGAATTAAAAGAAAAGGATGAAAAGACAAAAGCAGTGAAGAGATCAAGAAGAACTTGGGGTCCGAAATGTGAACCAACGTCTGATCTGACAGACCTCAAGAGCTTGCCTGATACAGAACACACGAAAGACACGGCATGTGGCCAGGATCTCCTCCAAACCCAAGATCATGCCAAGGCACCAAAGAGTGAGAAGGGCAAAATCACTAAAATGCCCTGCCAGTCATTACAACCAGAACGAATAAACACCCCAACACACATAAAACAACAGCTGAAGGCATCCCTGGGGAAAGTGGGTGTGAAAGAAGAGCTCTTAGCAGTCGGCAAGCTCACACGGACGTCAGGGGAAACCACACACACACACAGAGAGCCAGCAGAAGATGGCAAGAACATCAGAATGTTTAAGGAATCTCCAAAGCAGATCCTGGACCCGGCAGCCTGTGTAACTGGAATGAAGAAGTGGCCAAGAACGCCTAAGGAAGAGGCGCGATCACTAAAAGACCTGGCCGGCTTCAAAGAGCTCTTCCAGACACCAGGT